ACACACTGACCACTCTCAATACCCTCACACACACTGACCACTCTCAATAACCTCTCATACACACTGACCACTCTCAATAACCTCTCATACACACTGACCACTCTCAATAACCTCACACACACTGAGCACTCTCAATACCCTCACACACACTGACCACTCTCAATACCCTCACACACACTGAGCACTCTCAATAACCTCTCACACACACTGACCACTCTCCATACCTTCACTCACATGCTGATCAGTCTCCATAACTCCACCCACACACTGACCACTCTCAACAAGCCCAGACGTGCACTGACCACTCTCAACTCCACTCACAAAGAATGCAGTCCCTCCAAAACTAACCAGCAGCTATGAAGATGCTGAAATACTTTAATACGTTACCTTTGATTTTACCTCGAATGGGTGCAGCACAGTTCTTAGGTCCCTGGGCCCTCCTGTGTGGAGTTTGCATGTTCTACCTGGGTTTGAATGGGTTTTCTCTGGGCTCCCTGTCCTAGCAATCCTTTGCAGGACTGTCTTTCCGATTATGGATGGATGTACCTTAAATTCACATGAACAGATTATCTTCTTTGACAGTGCACACCATATACATCTGAGATCAAATGCTTTCATTAAATTTGCAAGTAAATACTGCTGGTCTATGACCTATGGGGCGGTGGAATGAATTTCAGGAACCCTGTCATTTTTCTCCACTGTCGAATTTTGTCCTGCAGCTTCCCTGAACAGCACACAGATCAGCAGCATCAGCGCAGGCACCCTGAGTTACATCACCCCTGAGGCGATCTCACTCATCCCTTCCAGTGTGTTCAGGGTAAGAGCGGGCCCGGCCCTGCTGGGGGGGTCCGTGCAGTGTTGAAGACCAGCGGCAGGCAGGCCCTAGTCAAGGGTGAGCAGGACGTGCAGCAGGAAGGAAATGAGCTCGCAGCTTCCAGTGCATCGGGAGAAGGCTGTCTCCGAGGATTGACAGCTCCGGGATCCAGCCCAAAACCAAGAATCCAGGCAGCTTCTTGTCTTGATGCTGCACATGACAGCAAAAAAGGGGACAAATTAACATAACATCACTTTATTAACCCTATACAGTTTCTTGCATGAGGAATTTGTCTTTTTGCAGACCCCAGCTTGCTCTCCATGAGACACACAGACAGGGAGAGAAGCTGGGGGTCAGAGCGCAGGGTCAGCCATTGTACAGCGCCCCTGGAGCAGCTGGGGTTAAGGGCCTCGCTCAGGGGTCCAACAGAGTAAGACTCCTCTGCCGGCCACG